TTGACTGCCACCCAGGAAGGAAAATAAATCAAAATCCACACACAATCCACGCCCTAATATCCGCGGATGGGATGTATTCCCAATTTTACATGCAGGCTCACGCATCCAGACATGCTCTGTCCAGCTGGATTAGCATTCAGCGCTGCGCGCCAGCAGGTTTTCGTCTCGGACAAGTGGAAGCACTGCATCCACGTCTTTTCCAGCCAGGGCGCCTACTTGAGGAGCTTTTCCAGCCTGAAGCTGCGCAGCCCGGACGGAATAGGTCAGCCAGCAAAAGGGCCTTCAACACGTCCAGTTTAAATAAAATTTCCTCTCAAAGCAATGGGGCCCAACGACGAGCTGATCATTTGCGACACTGGCAACGACCGCGTGCTGCTCATCGATCCGGACTCTGGCAACAAACTGGGCGTTATTGGGGCCCACAACGGGATCACCCAGCTGAACTTCCCCACCAGCGTGGCTCTGGATGGCTCGAACATTGTGGTGGCCGATTCAGGAAACAACCGGGTAGATTAATGCGGCTGCCGCTGCTCTTGGATAACCATGGCGCCTTTTCCAGGTGAAAACCTACAGTCTGGATGGCGAGCTCCTGCAGGAAATCGGCTCGTTCGGAAAAAACCCCGGCCAGTTCCGGTCGGCTGAAGTGGTCGCTGTCGACCAGCTGGGCTTCATTCTGGTTGGCGATGCTGGCAATGCTCGAGTAAGTCGCGCCCGCTCGCAGGAGGCTTCAGAGTAACTCCCGGTTTGTGTGCAGGTGCAAGTGTTCAAGCCCGATGGCACTTTGGTGAAGATCTTCGGCAGCAAAAGCGGCTTCGGGTGGGTGTCCGGCCTGCTGGTCACCCCCAACTTGGACATCATCGCCGCCGATAACAGGACAAGGAGTTTGAAGATTTTTTAACATCAATCCCCTTAGACAGTAATATATCACATGTTCATAGTTTCGCTTGTCTTAAGCAATCGCAGTTGCTTGGCCACTTCTATCGCCCGATTTTTGCCTCTCAGACATGGTTTTTCAGACATTCCACATCCAGGCAATGGAGGCTTCGATTGCGAAGCTTGCAGTTCCCTGAAACAGGGGCGGATCCAGATTTAAATTCAGGGGGGGGGGGTTATGTAGAAAAAATTCAGTCTTCTGTTGTCTATGAAATTAGAAAAATTATTGTCGTCGGGAATAAAAATATTTGAAAATCGCTCAACATGAACGTTTTGGTCACGCTTAAGTTAAAGTTCGTCGTTTGCTGGAAAATCATCATGCAGTCCGTCTCAATGAAAAAATCACTATGGGTAAAACTCGACGACTTTTCAACTGTCCAGTCGCTCCCGCCTTACAAATGAAGTGTTCACCTTCAACACGCTGGCTAGTAAAGTTTGGGCCACGCTGTACACTTACGAGCCTGATTTCCTGCTGGTGGCACGAAATTAAATTATTTACACTTCAAAAGCCACACATTACAATCATGCCTGTGTAAATATGGACATAAAACCGAGACCTCGGCAAGCGAGCCGAAATTAGACTTTTAACCATTATTCCCTCAAAGAATGTTGATTTCGGTAAGTATCTAACTAATATGAGCAAATTCTGCTCAAAACTCGGATACATTCACAATTTGAACCTTAGGGGTCGGTTTTCCTGATAACTGGGGGCGCCTCAGGCATGGGCAGGGCGGCAGCCGAAGTCCTGCTGCAAGAAGGGGCCCACTTGACTATCCTGGACTTGCAGCGACCGCTGCAAGACGCAAACTTTCAATTTGGCCACGATCGAGTTCTGTTTTTACAGGTCGATGTAAGTGCGTAGGAGCGATTTGCTCGCTCATGAGCCTGCGAGTTTCGATCTTCAGGTAACTTCAGAAAAAGACGTTCTGAACGCCATGGACGCAACCAAGAGGAAATTCGGCAAATTGAATGGAGTGTTAAACTGTGCGGCAGTATTCTCGACTGCGCCTATTTACGACTTCAAGACATTGGAACCGCATAGCAAGCAAATTTTTATGAAAATCCTCGACGTAAGTGAACAACTTCAAGCACTAAGTTATTCCTCAAACGGTTCACCCAGGTGAATCTTTGCGGGACATTCAACGTGATCCGATTGGCTATTGGTTTACTAGCAGAAAACGAGCCGGACGCCGATGGGGAACGCGGCATCATCATCAACACCAGCAGGTAAATAGTCTGCACCAAGCTGTTTGGCAGTGACGTCATGTCCGAGCGTAATTCGATGAAATACCTAGTCTGTACGTTATAACTTTGGTCGCACGTCATCACTCGTCGGTCGAGCGTTGTTGCCATACCCGCCATACATTCGCAAAGCAGTGTTCAATTATCTCAATGCGGTCTCGCATGCAACAACCGAACGCAATGTGACATTAAAAAATCTGCGGTCGATCCGGCAGCATTGCAATTTCCACCAACCTAATAA